TAGATTAATGGGTTCCTCACATTGGTGGAAAACCCTTTGAAAAAGTAACTACTTGACAGAATTGCCGGCACTGAGGCTGACTAAGCAATCTCCACCTTCACCAGATGAAGAACAGATCTATGGCATGGGCTGGGTGGCAGCGCAGTCCTAGAAGATATGGCCTCAGTGTGTGGAAACATCTGTCCCTAGGGTGCTTGTTAAGGAGCCAGAGTAATCAACACACAGCATCTTCTATCTGATTTTCTCCAAACTGTAAAACTCAGGCTAGGGATGTAGATCAGTCATTGAGTGTGTGTTTAGCATGTGCAAGGCCCTGGGCCTCATCTCCACCACCACATGCACAAAAAAACATCATAAACCCTCATAAGTCACATTTTTGTGGTGAAAGAGCAAACTAAAAGACAGGAAAATAAAATAGTACATATCAGGACTTTTGAGAGAAAAACAAAATATCACTTCAATTCCAGGATATATCAGGGGTCTGCACATTGAGCCTAATTCTCCCACCCCAACTCGGCTCACCCTCATTTATTTCTATGTACAGAGGACTTTTTGTTGAGGATAATTTTAAAATGCTATTCCTGTACCCAGCATGATATGAAACAGAAAAAAAAAATTTAAATAGATTTACAGCAGGTATGGTGTCTAATGCCTATAATCCCAGCACTCTGGGAGTCTGAGGCAGGATTGTAAAGTCTAGGCTAGCCTGGGCAACTTAGCAAGACCCTGTCTCAAAATAAAATAAAAGAGGGGTTGAGGATATCGTTCAGTACTGAAATGCCCCTGGGTTTAATCCAAAATTTATTTACCAAAAGTAAATATAGATGTTCAAGGTTTATTCTCTACTTGCCAAAAAAGTTTTTAAGAGCAGAATATACTGTCGTCTAGATTCCAAGTTCATCCAGATTTTCTTCAGTGGGCTTTTTCAAGTTTGTTCACTTTCCAGAATCTATTGATTGATTGATTGATTGATTTATAATTGATTGCAGCAATGAGGATCAAGTACAGGGCCTGTGTATGCTATGAAAATACACTAACACATTTCCAACCCCTGCTGACTCTGCTGATCTCATGTACAGTTTTGGCATATTACCTCCAATTTTAAAAAATTAATGCATTTTTGTGCTGGGGATGGAACCCAGGCCTCAGGCATATTAAAGTACTGGTTCTACCCCTGAGCTACACTCTCAGGCAGAACCTGATTTTTCATAGGGTCCTAGGGACCATCATACCTGTGAATCCTCTTTTTGCTTTAGTGATGTGAGCTACTTTGTATTTTCAGATTTACTTTCAAGAATTTTTTTTTTTTTTTTTACTTTCAAGGATCTTGAAAACATCTTGCTCATTCTTTTCTTTTTTTCCCTTCAGGACTTAAAACTGGCACTGCCCAGCCCAATGGTCAGATACCCCAGTCTGCACCTTCTGTCAAGATTGTTCTGGAAGAGGCCCAGAGAAATGTTGAAACAACAAAGGTAAGACTAGAGAGGAACTAACACAAATCAAACTGGAATGTATAAGCCCCTCTTCTAAACCATAAACAGTTTTCTACTAACTGCTCTTTTTGAAAGAGCAAAGATAG